AGGATTTTTTCCAGGGGAGAGCACGATTAAATTTTTTATTTTTTGTCTTTCTTAATTTTTTTATATTTAATTTCTTTGTTTTTTTTTAAATATTTAATATTAAATATTTTTTAAAATATTTAATATCAAATATTTTATATTAAACATTAAATATTTTTTAAAAATATTTAATATTAAATATGCAAATAAATTCCGGTATTTGAAAAGGAGAAGAAATGCCCCGCTTTGCGGACTCTCGTGTTCATGAGATTTCATCTTAGTGATCCCTCAGCGAAGGGATCGAAAGTATCTCGAATGCGAGAAAAGAAGGGTGTACTTTGTCCCCAGAATTTTAGGAAACTAACTTTCGAACCCTTACTCTCGTGAGATTCTTACACCCCGGAATTAATTTCTTCCCTCCCACCTGCCTCTCATTCGTCTTCTCATCTTTTCTTCCGACGCATCCTAGATTTAGAAGAATATATTTGCACTGTCAGTTGTCAAACACTTTATATTAACTCACACACTCTAATACTCACTACTTTTACAATCTATAACTTTCTAATAATGATTCTTCTTATTATTATTAAAAAATACTGTTATCATTCACACATTATACACATACATACGCATCTCCGTAGGACTTAAATACGACGTGTCCTGTTATTATTGTTGGATTATCGATTGCGTGCCACGTGTGAAGAAGATACGGATTCTTTTGAAGAGAAGAGACATTTTGCGTGAATGTTTCGCGCTTTACGTTTCCAAGTTTCTCCCAATTGATCATTATCGCCCAGTCGTGTTGTAAAAAAAAGAAAAAAAATGAGTAGAGCTTACACACCCACACATACACACGTGTATACACGCATATACATTTACGGCTTATTATTATTATTACTTCCGCATCGTTGTTGCATCGTTGTCACTTTCGGCGCTCGGTTACCACGCACTGAGAGAAAAGAAGATTTTTAATTACGCTGAAGTTGCCTTAATTAATTAAGATGACTTAAAATAATTTCCCGCAAATTAGTTCGAAACGTGAGAGCAATTCTGCTGTAGAGGAGTGACAATCGTGCTCGTTATTAATGTCGATTGTTCTCGTATATGCAAAATATTTAATATATAAACTATTAGCTGTGCCAAGTAGTGTTTTTTTGTAAAAAAAAAAAGAATAACGAAAAAGAAATAAAGATTATTGCTGCAAAAAAACATGAAAGTATAATCCATCTTTCGATAAATTCACCTGTCGGGAAGATGTCGTGTCGTGTTGCAAATAAGAGTGTCAAGATATACCGCGAGAATTAATCCGTAGAAGAATGTATAGCGATTTTTGCCTTAATGCGCGCGTAATTATTATGATTTTTGTTGTCAACCAATTTGCGATTTGATCCGTAAACGCGCCAACTTTTGCAATTTTCTCTCAGTGAGAAGAAACACGTTCTTCGCGTAGAGGAACTGTAGATTTTGCAGGATACAGATTTGCGCCACAGGTGTAGGAAATTTTGCAAAATATGTATAATAATATGCGAGCAATGACGTCGAATCATCGTCGTTGTTTACTTATATTACGTATGATTATAATTTCATTAATCCCGCGTTTCTCTTCATCGTTTCATCATCGCATTACTTATATACGTGTTCAACGTCAAGTTCAAGTATATATTCCTCTCGTCGCTATTACAAATTTATGTTACATAACGACGGCCGTGATTTTTACATAAGATTATATATATATATATATATATATATATATATATATATCTTTTTGTCATCGGTTTTTACTTATTTATTATTCTAGCGTGTGCGAACGATGACATTTGTCCTCTTGTATTAATTTCTTATATATATATACAATATATATATATATATATATATATATGATTTATTTGCTCATATCGGAACAAATGTGGGAGATGTGTTATCTATGATCTAAGGTGTTTGAAAAAAAGAGTATAAAGATGCACAAAGTATAATTATGAATTTTATAAGGATGACGCTTTATATAAATGAAGCTAACGAGGGACCATCAAACTTAATATATCCATGTACAAAGATAGTGCATGCGCGTTAAATTTATATGATTTTTGATTATTCCTATAGGAGAGCAATTAGAAAAATATCCATTACATATTTGTATACTGCATATATATAACATTCAACTCGGCCGCTCGATTTTTTATTTTAGTCATTTGTATACATGAAATTATACACATATAAACACACATATCCACACAGGGTATCTATTTTAATTACTGTAGTCAAATATTTGGAAGAATAGTTTCGAACAAAAGTTGTGATTGTTCCGACACTATTTAGTTGTCCAGATATTTCGCGGGGGTATTTAAAATCGAACATCCTGTATATATTTCAACAAAAATCAACACATTGAAGATCATGTGGCGAATTTAGAGTATTAAGAGCGCGAAGAGTTTCAAGAGTTTCTTAATTTTTATATAGCTCGAATATGCTTAATCCATCGTTATTACACATCCTCTATTCTTATTTTATACTCCCTTTTCAAGCACCCTAGAAAGCAATCTTAATCTTTAAATGGTACGATAGAGATCGATGATCAAGCAGAAAAGTTTGATCATTTAAATACCTGACTCTGTCATGCTATTTGAGGATTTAATGTCATATACGCGATTCTTGTAATTTGTTCAACGTGCAAAGAGAGTGATCTAAATCGATCACTAAGAAATGAACGTGAAATTCGGCAAGCTCTATTTTTCCGGGTCGCATCATATAGTAGAATAAAATGCAATAAAATAAAATGTAGAGAGAGAAATAATATATAAATGTGATATAATCTTCTTTGAATTTAATTTTTTAGAAAGGTAACATAAAAGTTCGCTTTCTCACGATGTGTATATAAAATAAACTCCATACATCTCTCCAATACGTAAAATACTAAATAAAATACTTTATAGACTCTACTTATTTAATTAACTTACTTATTATTGCGCGCAGGTATACAAAAGACGTTCGTCTAGGGCAAATTTTATTCAGCTCTATCTTGATTCTCACACAATCTTGAATCAAGTATTCTTTTTAGCGATCAGATACAGAGAGCAAACGTGAAAAAAAAAACAAGAGAGAAAGGAAGAGCGAGAGAGTGAGAGAAAGAGTGAAAGAGAGAAAAAATGAATGAAAGAGACTGAAAATTTAAGAGAGGGATCGTGTACACTGCTCGTATAGATTTGAGGAGAATCCGTAATTGTGCCAAATCGTTACACGTATCCCGTACTTAAAAAAAAGAGAGAAATGATTTTCACGCTTTAGCGTTATTTTCGGGCAAGAATTTATATGGAAACTGTGAATCACCGAATATCTTTGCGCGCAAGTTTATGCGAATTTTAAGTAAATATCATACGAGGAGTTTTGCTGATTGATCTTTCTCCCATCTCTGTCTATAGACGACAATGCAATCCGGAAAACCCTCCGGCTAAAGTCAACTTTACTTCAAATCAGACTTCGCAAACCGAACCAATATTCCCTTCAGACTCTCCATGTCTGACGAATGAAAGTTTCGATAGCTTCGCAACTTGATCGATAATTCACAGTTTTCATCGAGTCGTGCCTTCCCTTACGTCACTAAACATTTGAGATTGACAAAATATATATATTGTCTTTTACTTTTCATCCAATACTTGTCACGCGTTACACGACGACTTGGCGATTCAGATTTTCCTCGACATTCACGTAAGGGCAATAAAACATATTGTACATTTTTCGAGTACAGTTGTATTTGAATGTGTAAGTTGCATAAAAAAGACAGATTTTTTAGATATTGCACTGTCATATTTATTATTCTATAATAATGATCGATCGGCTCGACCGGATCGACCGCGCTCTCGAAGCTAATGTATACGCATTCTTATATTTCGCGGTCTTCTGTTCTTTTTTTTAATTAATAGCATTACGCGAGTGCCGTCGATCGGGCGCCATACACACATACATAAACACACACACATACACATTATGAATTAATATTATTAATAATAAAAAGAAGGCAAATGTGCGTGCGTGAAACGCGCATTGTTCTTTCCAATAAGAGAGGAAGACATATGGTTTTCAGTGTTTTCACTACGATTGAATAAACGACTCTATATTATTACATATAATATTATATTAATAACGAGATATTATTACACTGTAATGTTTGTTTTTGGTTATTAAAGTGTGTATATAGCAATATATTCTAGAAACGGTCGCTCTCGTGCATTTTTTTATTCAACCTTCTAGGATTTAAGAGACACCTGAATTATAATTTTTATATTCTTCTCTTTTTTTCTAATACAGAATTTTGACAAGCCTAAAAACAATTTCTGCATCAATATATTTAATATTATTTATAATGTATAAAATTTAGGCATTTTGCATGTTCATCTTCATCTTCTTTTCTTGCATTAAATCGTTTAGTTTGTCAACTTACTACAGTTCTAGATATTCGTTATTCTAACAATAAGTGGTTAAGAAATAATCTGTCAGAATATTTAAAAAAATTGTGGACCTTGAAATAAGGAACGGAGATTTAGGAAAAGAGCAGAGATATATATTTATAATAAAAAATAGAAAATTTATTTAAAATTTATTAATTTGGAGGAAATGGAATGCTTTTTTTCTATTACATATAACACGATTTTTTCATTGTATCACATTATTATTACAATTAAAGATCATGAATTATAAAAAACAATACAAATTACATTTTTATTTTTTTATTGTGCCACCTTTTCTTCTTATTATTTTTGACACAGACTTTTTTATTTATGAACTTATTATATTTTAGATATTACAATGAGAATTATTTTTAGAAGGCACGATCGACATAGATCACACAATCATGAATGTGATAAATTATTTAGAAAATAATCTACAAAAACTGTAAGTAACTCGCTAAGATAAGAAACTAGAATTGCTTCAAACAGAATATTTGAATATATATCGAAGAAAATAGTGAAAATAAAGAAAAAAAATTTAAATAAAATATTGCATTGTCAAGAATAATAGTTGCCAAATCATTATAAAATCTATTATATTAAATCTACTATGATAAATTTACACTTACAAATTTAATTTGGCACAAGAGAATAGGACCATCATGTTTCTTGTGTCACACTATATCCGAATTTTAGTAACTAACAAAACTAATTGTATTCAATATTAAACTCTACTTGGTTTGAATTTCTTGCGCACACCATCATTAAAGCCTTCTCTATTTCTTGCAAGTTCTATAGCATAAAATTGAATTCGAGTTGTCAATATACTGTTTTCTTCTGTATAATTTTCTGTGCAATCTGCTCTTAATAATGTGCCAAAACTATAATCTTCCACAAGATCTTTAAATTGTTCGCAAAAGGGTCTCCATTTTGCCTTTTCTGTTAGAGACTTGAGCTCATCTTCATTTATCTTATCAATTTTCATATTGGGAAAATTCTCTCTGAATACTTTATAAATTTCCTCATCATGTGGCGTGAGTTTTAAAAATTTCGGGTCGACTGAGCACAAAATCTGAAAATAGTAATAATATAAAATAGTAATATTTCTTTTATTTTAATTCGTCATTTACTTGCATGCTTTTATATACAATACTTACATTAAAATAAACCTCTGCATGTTCCATAGCTTTCTTTGCCCACATTACTTCCACGGATGGCTAAAATAATAATACAATTAGGAAAAAGTAACAAGTATAATCTTTTTGCATAACATTAATGTAAAATAAATACACAATTTCTTCAAAGTAGTAAAGTATACTAACACTAAATTATCTGAATATTAATATGATTAGTACTATATTGTGATAGTAAAGAATTATCTGCACATTCTACTTACATCATTGCCGAATTCTTCAGCGGGTCTTGATAATATGCTGGAGCCAGCAATTAGTTGATCTGCTGTCTGTGCAATTTATTACACGTCACAATAAATATTTTTAAAAAATAATACAGCCATGTCCAAAATGATTAGACACTTCAATTCTTTTATTTCTTAGTATGTAGATCAAAATAAATAAAAGATCACCAGTTGCGACTGATTGTAATAGTTTGAATAACGCATTACATTTGTTTAACAATTCTTATTTGATTGTTGCGAATACAATAATAAAATTTGAGACTCTTTACTCTTTCTATGTATATAAATTCAGTTATAGATATCAAATAATTTGAAATAGAAATATAACTAGAGAGGAATCATTTTAATAATTAATATTAAAAATCACTGAACAAAATATGATTAAATAAAAATACTAGTCAATGTTCAACAATTTTCACAACTATTCATGTTACAATTACGGATTTTAAATATAAACGTGATGAGTTTTAGGTTATCATTGTAAGAAAGATTCTAGAACAATATACATACCACATTTCCTATTTGAGCCATATTGTAATCATAAAATAATTATAATATAAATGCGTATGATGTTATATACTGTATGTATTCACTGATTTTTAAGATGCAGCTGAAGAAAGCTTATAATAATAGCGTCCAATACTCAAATCAGAGAGAAACCTCTCTGCTCAGATGCAAATAACGTCAACCATATGCGGAAGATAGTGTTCCATTCGAGATTATGGAAGTTTCGAATCGTTTGTAGCGTCGTACGTCAAAAATTAATGGCGCCACATTTAAAAAATACGATAATTGTAGGTGCGGAAAATGATGTAATTTTCATAGGAAAAATTGAAGAAAAACGATCAAAATACGTGATAATGTACAAACTTTTTGCATTAAAATATTGACAAAATGTAGTCACCTGCAGCAATCTTTTATTTAAGTAAAAAGATTATTATTTAATAATTTTTAAATATCTAAATAAATTGTATAATACATCAAAATATTTAAAACAACGTTTACATCTCATTAAAAAAAAAATATATATATATATATATATATATATAGAAATGATATATGAGATAAAGTAAATTTAAAAACTATTTATATATAATATAAAATGTCAATTTTCAATAATTGAACAATACATTTTAGTAGTCTGAGTTTCTTTTTTTGAAATTTACATAAATTATAATTTAAGGACAAAAAATTTTATTCGTTAAATTGATTAATGAATTAATCTATACTTGTATAACATTTTAATATTTTAATATTTTAAAATGCTATTAAAGAAAATAAAATTTTATAGCAATCATATTTTATTTCTATATATAAGATTTTTACAATGAACAGTAAACATGCGATTTTGCTCTCTCTTTTCTGGAGGTTTACTTCGTCATAATAAATTAAGACTTTCACTTTGTTACATGTTCACATTGCCGTTAAAAATAATTAAAGAAGTAGTGAGAAAAAACTTTCGCAATAAAGTTAGTGTTCGTAAATTTTCTTTCACGAATATACAAAGATTGAAAATTATTGTAATAGTAATAATTTATTCCAGATTTCTCTAATATTAATTCTAAGTGAATTTTCTAGTGAATTTTAATTCTAGTGAATGAAGAATCAAAATCAACACGATACTCTGAAAAATAAAAGTTTTCGAGTCGATTAAAAAAAATTCTTAAAAATTAAAATTAAAATTTGAAATTGAAATTTCTCTTTAAAATTTCTTCTTTAGCAATTTCCTTTATAGCGAAACCGGCTATTAATCATATATATTGTTCGAGAAATTTTTATTTTGTTAAACTATATGTATAGAAAACCCTTTATATCACGAGGCATATTATTTATCGATCATTTATAAGAATTTTTTTTACACCATATTGCTATTCGTTTGTCATGATAAGCGATTAGATAACGATATTCGGAACATGAAACGAATCAATGCCTGTCAATAAAAGGCGCCTGCTCTCTGCGATCTGGAAGAGATCTCGTGCGGAGAGCTACTTTCTCAGGTAAAATGCATGCGATAAGCGTAAATTAATTTTTTCACCAGTTAATTTTTTTTTCTTCCAGTAGCGTGAAGTCACTTTCATCCTTCGCACCCGGATATTTTACGTAAGTAGTAAAAATATTCTTGTATCGTTGATAGCAGATATCTTGGTCGATTGACGCAATAAATATTCGATATGAGCGATATCGATACATTTTTATATATATATATATATAATTATATATAATAACTTACGGGAGTCGGAAGTGAGCGTCCATCTGGCCGGATGTGCGATTCTCTCTCGGATTTTCTCCCCGAATTACGTTACGGCTTAGCTAATTAGAGCGAAGGCGATATCGAAATCTCGTTCTCCTCCTCGACGAGGATTCGCATTCGCGATTCGCTCGCGCGATCGGGAACACTCCGACTCCGACTCTGATTTCACTCGGACGGGTGAAGTTGACAGCTTCTTATTGCGTGTTATTCACTCTCGATATATATCGCAAAAAGTACGAGAAAAATGTTTACGCGGTGAAGTGATGCGTTGTTTGTTATCGATACTCGAGATCGAGATAGATTTCAACGTGAATTTAGCCAATTAATCGTCTGAAGTTTCGCTCGATTTGTCAAAGATGGGCAACGGGAGCTCGAAAGATAATCATCATCAATCAGCATCAAAACAGAATGTAAGTGTCTTTTCCCTAGTCGAGATTTTTCTTCCACTTTCGACCTCAGTTTTTAATTTAATTTATCTTATTTAATTAAACATTTTACTTTAATTTATCGTCGATACTTTATAAGTTGTTAGATCACTTTCTTTCTAACCTATTTAGTTTTTATAGTTTTGTCGAAAACTTCTTTTTTAAACCTCTAAGCCAGAAACTATTTATTTAATTATTATCTATTTGAAAAAAAAGTAGGAGGTTTGATATGTAAATTAAATTGATCGAAATTCTCTCTAAAATTTATGAACGTGAGAAAATTGAGGTTAAAAATGAGAGGAAAATTTTAATTAAGATTTGTGTTTCTCTTTATTGCATTTTTCTTAAATGCAATATATCATATCAGTATGTTAATCACTGAAAAATCAGAGAATAATCATTGATAAATAGTCTCAGTTATAGCACTGCAAATTAATAAAATATTTTATTTGAAATAATTATAATTAGTGATATATAGTAACAGCTGTTCTAATTAATCATATTTTAGAATATATTCTATATGAGATAAAATAGCGATATATTTTGTTAAAGAAATATTTGAGGTTGATCAAGAGCCTTGTCGACTTTTTGTTTATTACATCTTAAGAGTAAAAATAACATATAACTCTGAATTTAAATATATGTTATAATTATATGTTTATTTCACATATGTGTGCAAATAGTCTTTTCGTGAAAAATTAGCAATTCAAAATGAATAAAAAAAACTTTTGCAAACGATTATTACTGACTTTTAAGGAAAACAAGTATTTTTATTAAAAAAAAAATTAGTAAAATATTCACTGATTTTATGATAATTGCTCATCTAATCAGTGACCTTTTGATTGATTCAATTTAAAACAGCAATGAATTTATTTTCTTGATCATATGACTTTAAAACATAACAAAAAAAAATACAAAGTCATCCATGAAATATTGGTATTTTATAACATACAATGTTAGCAACTATCTCGCGATTATTGATTTAAGTCACAAATAAAATTCTGACACGAGAAATGATAACAAATATTATTTTAACTCTTGTTTCATTACACAATCTTGATAATAACTATTTTTTGAAAAAACTCGAGGGGGACTTGCGTCATTTAGAATTGTGTACATAAATGCAATAGCTTGAGATTGAATCATTTAGTATTTAGCTCGAAGAGAACATTTTTTCCGTTCTCTCTTTGTTATTTCTTTAAATTATATATATATGACATTAATATAATAATTTAATTTTTAATATCTTCATAGATACTTAAAAAAAATTTAATACATATCTTCGCATAGATATCAATATACTTTGTTATATGTAGTAATAATGCAACTTTTGCATTTTTGATATCTCAATTTTATAAAAATGTATTTATATTTTTATAACTAATGTTCTACATTAATATTGAAAAGTTAAAGGCCAATATCAATATTGGAATTAACGTTGCGTGAAAATCACGTTTCTTCAATCACGTTTCTTCAATCACGTTTGATACGCGTGTCATATATATATACATATATATTGATAACTCGCTGATAAGCTACATCGATTGATCCCAGTTTCCTTGCTTAAAAAAAAACAAGTATAATAGTAGTTACTCATAGAAAAATTAACTTGGTAATTTGCGCGATATACATATGTATTAAACGAGATACGTCAGAGCCGTCTTCTCGCAGACGCTAAAGATAATAAGAGGCATGTGGGATCGTGTAGTAGTTTTAGTCTACGTAGAACATGCCCTCGAGACAATTCCTGAGGTCGTTCGGTTACAGTTTGACGGGTCTTCGAAGTCCCCGATCAGACGGTTTGCGTCATGTCATCCGGGATCTCGAGTCCGAGGGTTGTCAGCTTCCTTTGTGCAACGGTATCAGGTAAAACTGACGTATATAAGTGTGCAGATCGATCTGTCACAATTGTCCGGGCAACACGTGAAACACTTGCGTCATTCTCTCTTTCACTGAATGTAGATCGTTTCGAGAATTTTTTTCTTTATTACGCGTGAATAGAAAAGTAAATTTTGTACATTATTATATAACGTGTCTTCTTATTAAAGGAATTATGTGTATATTTATTTTATAATTTATGTACATAGATAAACATTTATTTATTAATTACTCATTAATTTTGGAAATATAATGAACAGTTTAGGTATAGAAGAAAATATATTAAATAAAAAAATATACATTTAGATTTATTATTTAGGATAATAATTTATTTATTTATAACTTTTCCTGAATAATATTTCATGCTTTCTCAGTTTTTTTACATTTTGTATAACTACAAAAAATATATATATATGTAACATATATTTATGCATATAGTATGAAATAATGCTTCAATAATTTTGCAACTAACTGGGATAGTAAATGCACAGTCATTGAGTTAAGTAATTTGATTAAAACTTTAATCTCGTTATAAAGGGAGAGAGCAAAAATGCGATTGGAATTTTATTGAACTTTGTTCTGACAGACTAATGGGTTTCTACAATTGTAGAATTGATTTCTGTGCAACATTTTTTATCATTGATTAAAGATGTTCATTAGTCGATGGATGCACAACACGCGCGATCGCGCGATGAACGCGCGTGCGCTGAACTATGCCTCTTTACAGACACGTATTTATAGGTACTCGATGCAATCTATATTTATCGATTAATAATTAAGTAATAGATATACAATATTACACATAATATTATATAATATTATATATACAAATATGAATACATTTTTATTGTTGAAATAAAAAGAAGAAAAATAGAATGCGTGCAACTTAAATGATGTGCGTATATATACACATGTGTATGTGTGTGTATTTAATTAAAACTTTTATTATAAGTATTATATTTTATATTATAAGAATTAAAATAATAATGTTTTAAGTAATGTTATAATAATTTAAACTCGGATAATATTTTTGACAGAAATCAGCTGATCACTGTCAAAAAGATTAAATGAGTTTAAAGTATTATAGCATATTATTTAAAATATATTATTATTTTAATTTATAAAAATTTCAAAATTTAACTGATAAATTAATGCTTTTATAATCAGTTGCTTTCTATCAAGAAATATATTAATAAAACGTTAATATACTAATTATACTTTAAAATAATGTTAAAAAATAAAATATAGTAATATATTTAAATATATTATAATTACAATAAGGTATTACAATATGTTATATTATATTATTCTGATTAATATTTTTGACAGAAATCAGCTGATTTCTGTCAAAAATATTAATTAAGTTGAAATATATATATATATATATATATATATATATATATATATATACATACATATTAATTAAAATATAAAATATACATTGAAATATATTGTCTTATGAAACAAAGAAAAGGTTTATAAGTTTTTGATTAAGTTCAGAATATAATATATATTTTTTTCATTATCAGTCAAACAAAAACTAATTCGTAATGTAGAAATAATTATCAGCATAAAGTTGAAATAAGAAATAAATATTTAAAATACGTAAGAATGAAAAACATGAATCATATTAAAGAAAAAAAGATAGACGCCTTTAGCAGGTACGGTAGTGCTCTTTATTTTCCCCCATGCTCTTTGATCACGCCGACGCACACACATCACGTCACTGTCGCGTTCTCTATCCTACCAACGACGACGGTGTCTGCGTTGCGTGTGTATGCGTCCGACGGTATTCTCTCACAGTCAGAGATATCTGGCATTCGTTCGCAGGAACCAAAGCAGTAGTCGTTCCGACTGCAGCAAGAGCAAAACGTCAAGCATGTCGAGCGTGGAGCGCGATCAGCTGGGCCAACGAGGAAGCGGCGACTCGTTCTGCGCCGGTCTTTTGCGCGGCCTCGACCATATCAGGGACCCGCAGTTGAACAAGGTGTGTGATTGTGTATCGCATAATAAATGCTTTTGCTGTATAGTCCCCGAGATAATTGCTATTCGTCACGTTTATTATTCGCATCATTATTTATGTACGAGCGGCCAACGATGCTGTTTTAAATAAGGCTTTTGGAATTAGCGCGGTGGAAAAATTGTTATTGCAAAGGTTAATTGAAAAAAGATGAATGTTTTTAATTTTTATAAAAATAACAGAAACAAATTATAGAATTTTTCCGGAGAGAGAGAGAGAGAAAAATAATGTCGATATCTTTTTATCTTCGATATAAGCGGATCATCCCTTTTGATTAACGAAACATATATGTCATCACTTCGTAAAATATTGATTCATCATTCATTGATTCATTCGCCCAGTCGAAAATGTAAAAAAGTTAAAAGAAGAAATTACGGATATTTTTTATTAGCTAGTACAAAACTTTGTTCGCGATATTGCACTCTTTCTTTCTCTCAGAAAAAACTCATCCAGATCATTTTAAAGCGTTATTAAAACACAAATATTGATGCAATCGTTACGACATGATTGTCAGCACACTGTCCACTGCGCTTCGCAAAATACGTGCAACCGTACGATAATTTATACCAAGAAAATGTTTCGCGGGAAGTTTAACTTAAATGGTAATAATATCTTATGACGCAAATATGTTGAGTTCGACAATAAAATGCAAAATGACTTTGCAAACTAACTCGTGGTAATGTCTTTCCACGCTTGCGCAATCTCAGAGCTCGATACATGTATAGTTGATGAGCGTCCTTCATCGTAACTTAATACGTTCCTGAAGTTCCTTAAAATTTTCTTTTAAAGTTCCTTTAAAGTTCTTTTAAAGTTCCTTTAAATTTCCTTTAAGTTTTCTTTAAAGTTACTTTAAATTTCTTTAAAGTTACTTTAAATTTATTTTAAAGTCCCTTTAAATTTCTTTAAAGTCCCTTTAAATTTCTTTAAAGTTCCTTTAAATTTTCTCTTCGAAATCATTTAGACAAAGTCTAAACCTTGAAAATGAGTTTTTGTTATTTTCGAATAAAAATAAAATGATAGACACTTTGATCTCTTTGCCAAAACAGATAAATATTTAATATTTTATTTTTAAAACTGATTTTAAAAAAATTAATCATTTGTTGTCAGATTTCATATAAAAGAGTATAATGTTTTCAATTGTAGCTTTCAAAAATTACGAGAGACTACATTTAAATTTTTTCACGAAACCATTTATGTGTGAAGTAACTTTGTAATTATTTGCAAAATTAACTTAATTTTCATTTGCGCAACAAGATTACAGAGCGTAAGAGTCGAGAGAAATAAAATTTAGTTGCTTAATAATATCTTCATATCGTATGCGCAAAACATTTCTGTTCAAAGTCGGTCTCGTTTCGACGCGATCCTTGCGGTAGGTCATGGAGAGAGAGTCACTTTATATTCAAGAAATCAAGAATAGGGTGCCGTATATCGATCCGTGCATAGGGTCGCCGTCACACGGGAGTCAAGAACCCCGGCAACCGTTTCCACGGTCGGTTGTTTTGTCGCGGGATGCGAAAATCTCGCGTGATTGAGAAAAAAAGTGATCGGGTGACTGTGCGCGCCGGAGATAAATGGAGACCGATTGGTGGACTCTCGTCCCGGATCGGAATCGCGCCAAGCGCATTCCCGAGACTCTGCTCGCTCTGGATGGAAGGGTACATCCTCGTATTTTTCATTTTGCACCGATATTTCGCGATGTCGCGTTACACCTTTCCTCTTCTTCAAATTTACCATTTTTCTCTTTTTATCATAATTATTAGATCTTCTTCTTTTTAAACCGAACGCTTCTTGATCAAAGATATATCAATGTTGTATTATATTATTTCTTTAATTTTATTTTAAGTTTTGTTCATTGCCTATTGCTGAAGAGTAAGAGCTGGAATTTTAACTCTTGCATAACTGGTTTGGTGTCTAAATGTCAATTAATTTTAATCATAGAACTTGATTTTTATTCTTTATCTTGTCTTTTAATTCCAGATTTCAATAATTAATCAAATTAATTGTATATAATAATAACCATCCATTATGATGGTGAAAATTAAGAGTTACAGATATAGTGTCAAGTTGTAAACATATAAAAAAATAATATATTTTTAGTTATGTATAAACATGATGAGTGTATAATTTGAAAGCGATAATTATTACTTTATTTAATGATCGCATACGTCTGAGAAAATACCAAATCTCATTTCCGCAAACAGCCTTGTCAGCATTATTAACACACTCATATAGATAAACAATGATTGTATCTATTAAAGAAACAACGTAAATTAGCATGCAAATTAGCATTAAATAAATATAAACTTTAAGTGTGTTTCACAATTCATTTAATTATATTATGTTAGGAGAAAACATTTTTTATGTTAGTAAATATATATATATATATATATATATATATATAAAATTAAAAAATTTTCTCTCAGTCAAAATTAAAACAAAATAGCACAACAATAATTTTGTTTAGAAATAAAATATATTAGTAAAATTTTAGTTGGTCTTCCTTTTAAGGTATGTGTTAATAGACAGAAAGAGACGAATTCTTTCACACTTATATATAGTGGAAAAATACAGACTCGCGAACGCTGACCTCTCCTTTGAATTAGATTAATTTGGATCGCCTTAGTGGTTCGACCAGAGTCATTTCAGAAAAAAATACTTATCGAAAGCTGACAATGCTATTGTTTTATCCAGCTTATACGTGGTAAAAAATATCGAGAGAATTCAAAGACAGTAATGCGTGTGTTTCATGCAACACATTGAGAGGAGCATTTAAAAAATTAAATACCTTATATTTCTCGCAAAAATATCTCTAGAGATCTTATTCGTCCAAGGTCGATCTTATGTAACGAGAACAAGGGTATTACTATTATTGTTTCGCGATAAGTTATCGCACACCTTAAGCTATCTATACGACAATGCATTATTGTTATCGAGAACAAAAGTAACAGAGTATAAATATATACATTCGGATGTGCAAAGAAAAAATTGCAAGGTTTTTCCTGAACATTTCCAAAATATGTGCATAAAAATCATTTTTCTCATTTTTTTATATCCAAATAATTCAGGCGCATACACAAATATATTTTTAAAGTATTTTGTCTTTAAACTAATTGCATTTTAATGACCAACAGTTTTAATTAACAGAAAATATGTATATATGATTTTGAAATAATTTAGAATCTATATATAAATGATAAAAAGCGCGAGGAATATCTTTATTCTTTTAAATTGAATTAATATGTTATCAGTGAAAAACAGTCAATAATTGTTGATGATATCAATATATGTATTAAATGTATGCAGCTGCAAATCAGTCATAGAAAGAATCAATTAGTGATAATTGTTTCAAAGTGTGTCTTATAATATTAATATACGAAATTAATTTAACAATATATTTGATAAAAAAAAATCTTTTGTCACAGAAATATATTCGACTACTTCTTTATTTTTTTGTGGATTTATCATACCACAAAAAAAAATAATTTAAAGGAAAAGATTGTGGGGACAAGATATCGATGCGGTTTGCTTTATCACTTCTCGCACGAATAATATCTACATAAACTCAGTTGAACTTTTCCCGTGGTTGAAAATAATGGAATCACCGCCGGTTCATCAACCGCAGTCAGATAAGTCGACCTGATAACTTGCAAATTACGTTCGTTTTCAAAGTCGATGTTTCACTATAACACTCATTGCATCATCGCACGATTTATACGATTTCGCGGAGTTTCTCGTATATTATATTCGTAATTAAGTTTGGAAAAATATTGTTCTAAATATACAATTAAAAATTATATATATATCGTTTTTTTTTAATTTTTAATTTTGTAGCAATTATTTATAATGATGATTTTCTAATATATTCCCCTCATTAATGATAGAACTGACAATCAGCATTTGTGCTAGAATAGGAATCTTTGCGTTCGAAATGTGAGCATTTGTTAAATTTCAATGACGGAATAATAATTGTAACAGTTGCGTGGACAGTAACCGTTTGATTGATCGATAGTTTCAAGATTATTTGGCACAGCTTAACATTCGCTTTGAAGGAGAAATATCTCTAAGATATAATTACATCATCATCCGTTGAGAGTACATATTATATTCATAGTTCAATTATACGAATAAAAAAGAAATATAAGTAATATTATGTCATTTTACAAATATTGTATAATAAATTTTCTTCTCCAGTTTTGCAAAATTCAATTTATTCTAGCATAACATCATCTGTGCAAGATTCGATTAGATGTGTAACTATGATGTTGCCACAGGCATTTTGAAAGTTAGTATCCTTGCAAGTGAATGTAGATCATACGAGGTTCTCTATCTTTCGTGTACATATATAGGTACCTAAATAATTTCCATCTTCACTGGATTCTATCGTGACACACGCATGCACATTGGCCAATCCAGTTGGCAAAAATCGAGGTAGCACCACGATCAGCAGATCACCTTTCACCCACGCTAGTTGCATAATCAGCACATCCTTTTAATTGCGGCCAGAGTCGATGCTATCGGGGCACAAAAAGTCAGACTTAAAGATATCGCAAAACAAATTTGCCTCTCAGACTGAATTAATTCGTAAAGAATTTTCTAATCTTTCTGATTCGCGAGAAGAAATTAACGATAATGACATGTTCATGTCACGTGTGTCAGCATATTAAATGCTATCTTTCGCAAAAATATACTCTGATGATAGAAACACGAGATCAAATAAATTGAAATATATATTTAATATGTTCGAGATACCAGGATTCGATTTAATTTTTTCCTCAAGTCTCAAAACAAGCAAAAGATTAGTACAAGTAAAAATATAAATGACATTCGATTTAAAATTTTTTTCCACGACATAAGACTCCTGGATCCTTATCGCAGCCATTAGATTGTGATATCAGAAGCGAAAAAGCATACAAAAATTATTAGATGCCATTTTTAAGAAAGATATCTTAATGAAACACTTTCAGATGGCTTATATAGTCATTTTGCAGTTGTTAATTGACTATAAAGGGTATACTTTTCGAGGTATTTCAAGAGTGTGCTGAAGCCATCTGAAGTGTTGTTTCGAAATGGTATTTAAGAATTTTTAGTATGGTTTCTCGTCTCTGACGTCACAATTCCAACTTGGTTGGCCAGGAGTCGTAAGAACCTAATTGCACAATTAAATAACTGCGTCTCGTTTCAGGGTATGGCGTTCACCATCGAGGAAAGACAGATGCTTGGTATACATGGTCTTCTACCGGCAGCTGTGAAAAGCCAAGATGAGCAGCTGGAGCTCTGTCGTCTCAATCTGGAACGTTACACGGACGATCTCTCGAAATACATATATCTCATAGGCCTACTGGTACATACCGATGAAACAAACGCGGCGACTGTACCGCTTCGGATCGGAGATCTATTATGGATCTCCCGGTCTTCGGCTTAATCAGGCTTTCCTTCTTGTACACTTCTCTCACGTTGATTCTTACATAGAGTCTTGTTCCTCCTAGGACAGAAACGAGAAACTCTTCTACCGTTTGTTGGCAGAGGACGTAGGTAAAATGATGCCCCTGGTGTACACGCCAACTGTAGGTCTAGCCTGTCAGAAGTTCGGTCTGATCTATCGCAGGCCCCGTGGTCTCTTCGTGAGCATCCACGATCGAGGTCACGTCTACGATGTTCTGAAAAACTGGCCCGAACACGACATACGAGCGATCGTCGTCACGGACGGCGAGAGAATACTGGGATTGGGTGATCTGGGTGCACATGGGATGGGTATCCCAATTGGGAAACTGTCATTGTACACCGCATTGGCTGGCATCAAACCTCATCAGTGTCTGCCTATTACCCTGGACGTTGGTACTAATACTCAGGTGCGCGAAAATACGCTCACTTTTTAACACCAGACGACTCTTCATCTGGTTGTCCTTCATCAATGACTCTCTTTGTGATTTTTCATTTAAAAAATGCATTCCCTTTTTTTGCAGTCGTTACTGGACGATCCTCTGTATATTGGTCATAGACACAGACGCGTCACCGGACAAGAATACGACGACTTCCTGGACGAATTCATGGAGTCTGTCGTGAGACGATACGGTCCAAACACGTTGATCCAGTTCGAGGACTTTGGGAACGCTAACGCGTTCAGACTGCTCCAGAAATATCGCAATGATTATTGTACCTTCAACGACGATATCCAGGGCACCGCTTCTGTCGCAGTCGCTGGATTATTGGCGTCGCTCCGTGTCACGCAAACAAAACTCTCGGAGAACACGATCGTGTTTCAGGGTGCCGGAGAGGTGCGCGTGCAAGTCTTTTTTTTAAGTCATTATAAAATGAATCGAGAGAAATATGTGTGAGTCATAAACAAACTATTCGCAGGCGTCATTAGGTATTGCAGCATTGTGCGTCATGGCGATGCTGAAGGAAGGAGTGACCGAGGAGGAAGCTAAGAGTAAAATCTGGATGGTGGACTCTAAAGGACTCCTGGTGAAAGATCGTCCAAAGGGCGGACTGACGGAGCATAAATTGCATTTTGCTCGTGACGATCAACCAATCGACACCCTGTTGGACGTTGTCAAGGCTGCCAAACCGTCGGTTCTCATCGGCGCAGCTGCTGTCCGGGGTGCTTTCACGGAGGAAATATTGAGGGAGATGGCACGAAACAACGAAACCCCCATCATCTTCGCTCTGAGTAATCCAACGAGCAAGGCGGAATGTACTGCTGAAGAAGCGTACATTGCTACGGAGGTGAGAAATAGATTACGTATATATATTCTCGTCCAGGAACCTGTTTTCTGCAATTTTCATCAAGCTTTCTAATCTCTAAGGAACACAGTCGTATTAAATTCTTACGTCAAAAGCAATTATTCAATATGGAATCATAAAATATATCTAAAGTTCTTTCGTCTCGAGTATCATAGATGAATTATACATATTCAATACAGGAGAAATATAGAGTTGGTATATTTTAATTATAATTTGATGATTGTAATAAAAGCAAAAATGAGATCCTTAAAATATATATGCAAATCTCAAAAATATGTAATTTTTAGCAGTATTCCTGGACATTGAATTAACTGTTTGAATTAATAGGGGAGATGCATATTTGCGAGTGGCTCGCCTTTCGCGCCGGTGACGTACAACAATAAGACCTTCCATCCCGGTCAGGGTAACAACAGTTACATCTTCCCTGGAATCGCGCTGGCCGTGATATGCGCCGGTATGCGCACCATTCCCGAAGAAACCTTCCTCATCGCCGCGTCGACTCTTGCCGAAATGGTAACGCAAACGGACCTGGACAATGGAACTCTTTATCCGCCGCTGAATGACATACAGCAATGTTCGTTGAACATAGCGTGCGCGCTCATGAAATATGCCTACGATAACTGTGAGTAGAAATACTGTTGTACAAATGTTAGCGTATATGCGTTATATATGCAAATTTATCTTCTTTTTTTAGGCATCGCGTCCGTCCATCCGCAGCCTAAAGATTGCGAGAGCTTCATCAAGGCACAATTGTACGATACGAGCTATAAATCGTCTGTACCACCAGTTTATTCGTGGCCTAAGCTATAAACCTTCGTTAATTGGATGAAGATTTATTTTTTACACACCGATTACTTTGGGTCCACGAAAAAGACTTCACACAAACGTTCCCAGGGAAACGAATTCTACTTGTGTCCCTAAAGCCTGTTGATCGGGCTTATTTTATTTCAAGTATCGCGTACTAGTAGAATATATTATTAATTTATAACAAAAAAAAGTTACGCAAAAGTCGCAACGATAAACTCGAGTTTTAAAAAGTGAAGCAACATTATTTAAAGGTATAAATGTACAAGATGTATAAGAGTTGATTTGCTGGTTGAACAAATAAAATATCGACGCTGGTTTGAAAGAAGTGTATTTATTGCTACTCGGAATATCGCTTGTTTTGCAGAAGTAGACATCCCCCATTTAAACACGAGCAGCAAGTATATAATATCCTTCATTTCGCAGATATAGTATAACTAAGGTCAAACAAAAAAACTTATACGGGTGACACGAGTTGTGCAAATCAAACGTGACGAAAAAAGTGAGAACGGGATGACCTTCGCGTGCGCAAGAAACATTAATGTTTCTATATAATATTTACAATATACGTTTTTCGATTTAACTATAAATTTTCATTTGAATATAATTATAATAAAATATTTAAAAAATTAATAAAATTTAGTTTTTTTAGGCCGAAAATCCAAAGATTATAACATAATAAATCGCACAAATATGTCGCGAAGAATTCCTCATGGTTCATCAGAAACTTGCAAGTGACTTTCATCATATGCAAATACAAAAAAAAAGAATTGTTGACAGAATAGTCTCTAAGACATAATTATGTATATTTCTATGCTTTAAGATGCATGTAATTCACAACGATGAAATTGGTGATTGTTATTCGTACACTCCCTCTCTCGTTCGCTCGTTCGCTTTCTCTCGATTCCAATCAACTTTACTGTCGCGTAAAACTATCTTTGCTATATCGCTATAGTCCGTTGCTCACGGCTAGAACACGTCCGTGATCGTCAATTTATAACGAATAATATATTATAAACTTCGGACCCAAAGGTGATCTTTGATAACTCCAAACTTTGCGTTATTTTAGTCGCATATTAACATGGTAATAAATTTAAGGGACACAAATGTACAGAAGAGCATTTAAAAAAATTGCTTACAATCGTGGGACTCTGTTACGCTACACTGAGCAGACACACTGGCCTATCCGCGCCAGTAACGGGGACCGCGTGTCGCCGTTTCGATGATCGATAATCGTGATAGAAATAAACGATACTCATCAACGACGAAAAGTAATCTGATCGTGCGTCGTCGAATGCACTCGAATAATCAAGTCCAAGCTTCACCGGGCACTACCGTCTTCCCTACATATAGATTCAAGTTACATCGAGTGCGGGAATCCAAAACTGTGAAAAACCCAATGATCGGTATCTATACATGCACGCATGCATACACGCGCGCACACACACACACACACACATGCACGCTATTTAGCCTTTAGCAAGTTCAATTTTGCTCGCGACTCGTTTCACGTCATCGGGTTTCGTTGCTACGAAAGAGACATGTTTTCATGAAAACTAATGATACCAAAACAAAGACGTAGGGCAGTAGTGTCGTTGAAAGCGGAGTGTCTGTCCAGCACGGAGGTCGGTCCCTTTCCTAACTTCATCGAGAGAGTGAGTGTGATCGTTCGTGGGACTGTTGAGAGTCACCGGCTGCCCGTGGATCGGGCAATCTCTGAGAAGCCGGTAGAGCGTCGAAAAATGGATGCGTCAATGCATCCTTCAGAGTGAGGCGCTGCGAAGGTTCGTACTCAAGCATTTTCTGAATAAGATTGAATAAATGGCGATGCTCCTCGTCGTCGGACAGCATGTAACGCTACAACAAAAATAATATATCGTTTTACGATATTATTCTGTTAAATTATATATTAATACAAAAAAACAATTAGTTGATCGCTAATTTAATAAATGTTCATATTCATTGATAAAATTTCAATCTTACAAATTCGATTTTAATCCTTAATTGAAAGCATAATCAAAATACTAACGTGCAATGGTTTGCAGTTATCTCGAACGTATCTACCGGCCGAGCTCTTGTCGTCCCAATCCAATTTGCCATGATAAAAGTACTTAGTTTTGGTCTTGCGAGCCATGCGACTCGGTATCACGCCGAGTATGCGTTCCATCATCGCCAAATGCTCGCGATTATCGTGCGTCTGAAATAACGTAATGCCCAGGTATAACTCGAACAAGATGCAGCCAATGGACCAGACGTCACACGGTTGAGACCAACCCAATTCTGTGAAATACAGAAAGATTGATAATATATATTCATATATACCGTACATTTTGAATCTAAAGAATATTAAAAAAGAGATTACACTTACCTAGAATTACTTCAGGTGCTCTGTAATGTCTCGTGCTTACAATCGTACTATGGTGTTCATGATCGAAGGTAGCGCTACCAAAATCGATGAGCCTGATGTCGGTTCGTTTCACGCGTCTCGTGTCTCTCCGCTTGAAAAGAAAGAGCTTTTTTGAAACACTTTAGAATGAAAGCTTATTCTAAAGGCCAAATTTTGGGGTTCGACCATTCGATAATAATTTAAATCGTTATCGACCAATAGCACACCTTTTTACTATTATATGAACTCTCGTAATCCGAGTCGACGAATAGGATATTCTCAGGCTTGAGATCCGTGTGCGTAAGTTTGTTGTCGTGCAAAAACTTGACGGCGTAACAGAGCTGATAACCCATGTGCCTAACGTGCTCCAATGGATACGGTTGATAGCTGTTGTCCCTCTGTAACACAGATATAATTTTGTCAGAAATCTCGAATTCGTTCGCAAACTTCAGGGTCGGTGCCAGGAAGTAGATACTTACCAAAAAGTCGAAAACGCTCAGACCCAGCATTTCGAACGCGATGCACATATGTCCGTGGTAATTGAACCAGTCGAGCATCTTTACGCACAGGCTAAAATAATCGATAATTAGTTGTCTATCGACAATTATCACCACCTTATATAATTCGTATTTACAAAATTTAAATGATAAAAAAATATTCTTTCGCTTGTGTAGATTTAACAGACAAAAAGGAAGTAGCCTGTAACTTTCTTTCCACCAAAACTACTCGCAAAGACGATAAAGATACCAACTGTTGGCCTTCCGGATCCTTGACGGCAATCTTCTCAAGGGCGTTTATCTCCAACTTTGCCGCCTCTCTGTACTTCTCCACGTTCTTAATGATCTTTAGAGCCATCACGTGATCCCTAGAATATTTATCACAAGATGATCATGATATCTGAATAATGTATGCGTGTCGTCATCGTTTCAAATCCAGCATCCCATGAGGGTAAAAGCGTGTGGATAAAATATTTGCAACGATCCAGGCACTTTGCCCGTAATTTTACATATTCCACTAAAGAGAGATCTAATTCGTGAAACGCGCTCGGCTCGTAAAACAAAGTGCAAGGCCATCCTATTATTGCGACCACTCGCGCGTCATTTTGTGTGACAGTGGCGGATAGCTATTTCTGCTCTCATACCGCCGGCAACACTCGCGCGACGAGTCGTAACACGCGCGTTTGAAAGATTTTCCTCAGCAAAATGAAACGAGATGACGCGCGGAAAGAGAGAGAGAGAAACAGAGAGAGAGAAGGAGAAGTAGAGTATGGAAATAAATAAACGGTCGAACTAGACGTAGAATGTGTGCGGATAGACGCACGCGAGGACAGACTATATCTTACGTACTTAAAAGCTGAACTGGCACTTACATTTGCAAGTCCTTAACCTTGACAACTTTTCCAAAAGTACCCTCTCCTAGGGTGGCCAGTACTTTATCTGTAATGCAAAAACCAGGGTAAATGCCCGGCGGATACAGGCCTCGCGACCATCGCGGAGAGTTCTCGTCCGGCGTTGACCGGTTAAGGGACACCTTCTCGCTCTTTGGAGAGCAACAAGGCTCTTCCCGCTTCGGGAAAAATCGTCGCGTTTAAAGAAAAAAAAAGACAGAAAAAAAGAGAAAAAGAAACGCTGGTGAGACTCCTCCGCGCGGGCGCTTAGCCGATCAGTGCGTTATGTATTTATAATCGTGTATGTATCGCGGTTTAAACGGTGATAAACGGAATAATGAATAAACGAAGAATGATATCGTAGTTTTTTTAAAAAATATCGATCGGAATGCTGCTCGCCTAAAAAGCCCCATGATTGAAGGGGATAGATAGCAGCCTGACAGCTTCGACGAACATTCTCGGCATTCACTAGTCGATGGAGATGGAGGACAAGTCGTTTCGTTTTCATTGTTCGCGACGCGTGTCAATTAATTAATTAATTAATTAAAGAGACGGTCTCGAGGGAAACGAGACCGCATTCCAGAACGCGAAAGTGAATGCCGGATGTCCTCGGAGTATTATAAGAACGAGAAACACGTCATCCCGAAGAGGATGTATCGAGGAGATAGCGCAAGCATTCTTTCTTTTTCTTTTTTAATTATCTCTGCTCCCTTCCTCCGACTCTCTGTCTCCGAATTAGACTCTCGCTTGAGGGAACCGCGAGATGATGCAATTCGTCAACGAAAGGAACGAGAAGGAATCTTTTTTTGCAGCTATTTCCCGATAATCGTCGTCGAGCTGACGAGTCTTTCTCTATTTCGTGCTATCGAGAAACGTGGTGACTATATATGCACGTTACTTATCATTCTGAAATAAATCGTTATAGGTAAGGTAGATAGACAAAAAGAGAGAGGCTATTTTTTGCTCTTTTCGCGTATCCCGCGTTAGCGGAAAAAGTGATCCGAAAAAATCGACAGGGTAGAATATCTTTTCGATCTAGTCAGAGAGAAAATCGCGCTTAATCGTGTCTATATAAATATATAGATATATTAGTACGCGAGTTAATGTTCTCCACTAAATATATGCAGCATATATCTATATATATGCGCGTATACGCGTACACTAAACAGCGAGAACATTACAATGTGATTAACGCGTAAATTGTGTTACTTTTGTTGTGGTGTAGATATTGTTTAATATAGTATATATAATGCCTAGATAGTTTAGGCGGGAAGAAATGAAAGAGAGAAGAGAGAGAGAGAGAGAGAGAGAGAAAGATAGAGAAAGAGTGAAAGAGAAAGAGAGAAAAAGAGAGAAAAGAGAAAGAGAGACAGAGTAGGGGCAGACCGTAGATACCGATCGATCAGTTATAATCGACCTGAGACTCGCTTAAATCTACTACAATGAGTGTATTATAATCACGAACATCTATTTGCCAGGATGTCGCCGGATTGGTATACAAGGTGGCCGTCTTCGTCGTCCTCGACGGAGGGCGGTCGTGGGCTCTATTCGGGCCGGCGTTATCGGTATCGTGCGATCCCAAGTGAGTGGACCCAATTCAGTACCCCCGTGTTCGCGTCGCCCCGACATTCGGTACACGTGGTGGTCGTAGATGGTCGCCGTCGATGGAGTCGCATCATCATCCAGAGTCCAGAGGTAGACGAAGGAAGGCCGAAGATGGTATCCAAGTCCACGTCGTCAAGAGGACATCACCCGATCATCCACCGTCACCGCCACCCACCACCGCGGAATCCCGGCGGCGAGACGACCCGTGTAACACGCGGCAGAGAACACGTGTGTAAGCACGGGACGAACGTACGAGTGTGTCGGTGGGAGGTAGAGGAGGGTTGAGGATAACATCGTCATTCGCGCGGTTGTTGTCGTCGTCATCATCATCATCATCACGATCATCATCATCATCATCATCATCATCATGATCATCATCACCCGCCGTCATTGTCAGAGAGAGAAAGAGAAAGAGACGCCACCCGAGTCCGAGACACCCCCGTGAGAGAGACCGATTGTCCGTCGTGCGTGCCATATCCATTCCGTGTGTTTCCGTTCCATTCCATTCCATTACAACGGAGATGGTAACCCAACAATCAGAGAGAAAGGGGAGAGGGCAAAATGGTTTGCCAAGTCAGAAAGTTGCGGTTACGAATTTACCATCGGCACAAAGCGCATATAATTATGTATTCTTTTTTTTCGTTTTTTTTTCAGTATTTTATCCGTTTTTTTGCATTAGTTTTTTAACGGGGTAGTTGTTTTCCTATTTTAATTACTTGTTTTTTTTTCTTTAAATTTTCACTCGCCTATCTTACTCTTACGTTATATACTCGTGTTAGACCTGGTATATGCGTGCCTTTTGAAGGAGCCGTCTCAACACAGGCCAGAGCACTTCGTACGACCACGAATGCACATTCTTAAATATATGTATTAAGTATATATGTAGACAGATAGAGAAAAGCAGAGATAGAATCATGTGCGTTATGTACATACAATTCGCGGTAAGATAAACACGGCGGCTTCAATGATTAAATATATATATAATATAAAATGCATCGGCGAACGAATTGTTCTCCAAACGTTTACCCAATCTTGGCGGAGGATAAATAAAGATATGACAAAAAAAGAAAAACGAAAAAAAAATGAAAAAGAGAAAAAAAAGGCAAATTTACACGAACGAGACTGGACAGCTTCTTCGAAGTGCTCGTGACACACGTTACCTTTCATCTAACACGTTCGGAGATGGTATATATATATATAGCTTTATTAAATTTGTTAATTGCTCGATAGAGAAAGACAGAAACTCCGTCAATCAAGTACTTACGTGCTCGTTCGGCGAACGGTCGCTCCACGACGATCGATTTAGATTTTAGCTTTAGATTGTCTAGATTGTTTTCTCGATCCTCATTATCATGGGCCGCGACCGTTGCCGGGTGATCGAGTGTTTGCGATCGGTCTTTCGACCCTACCTTGTCGAAAGCACAAACACGCGCGTACCGAATCGCTAGAGCCAGCTAGCCGTTTTCTACTAGTTATGGTAGAATAAAAACAAAAGGTATCCGAAACAAAGAAGCAGACCCCTGTACTCTCTCGTAGTCTTGGACACGTCAATCATCGAAATAAATGGATAAATTTCAGAATCATGCTTAAAGTCTAACTTTCCGATTAGTACAAACGCGCGCGTCAGCATCAGTTTTGGATATCGAGTCATCGTGTTGAGAGGAAACGTTGCCCGATCTATTAAACTCTGAGATGAGTGAATCGAGTCTCTATATAAATATTTGCAAATATGCATATCTATGAAACGTGACTCGAATCGACAACAGAGAGAATCGATTGTATCGCGCTCGGAATTATTACGTTGATAAGATAGATCGGGCAAGTGTCCCAGAGATTTCAAGGTACTCTCATGGCAAACATTGGCAAGCGTGCAGTGTTTCTTGGCTTATCGAAGAGGCATGGCTGTTATAGTTAATAGTCTGTTCAACGACAAGCGAGAAGTGATAGGTAAAAGTTTGTACTTTTGCATACTTAAACATACACACACACACACACACGCATATAGACGAGAAAGGCAAAACAGTGGCAACGGACACGCTCTGCTCAAAACGAGACGGAAACCCCCCGGATCACGTGGTTAGGTTCGACAACTTACGATCGCGTCCACCTCGCTAATCGCGTTCGACGCTATCGCGTTCTTGGACGCGTGGTCCTTCTGATTGTTACAATGATTGCTCTTCCTGTACTTGCTGGCGATGAGCTCCGTCGTGCTGGGACACACGTTCGCCGTTTGTCCAGCGGATGCCAATTGAGTGTAGGTATCCTCCATCGCGGCGTACTTCAGGATCAGACTCTGGATCTCCTTTCGCTTGGCCACTCTATCCGAGATCGTTGGATCGTCCTCCGTCGTCAACGCGGCATTTCTGGCAACGCTCTCGTTGTTCTCCGCGTTGCTGTTGGCGATCGGCGTTCTGTCCGGATCCACCGCAACTTCCCCAACGTCCACGAACGACTCGATCTTGATCGGTCGGGATAATTTCAGAGACGTTGAGTGAATATCCAGCTGTTCGCTCTTACCGTTTCGATGCGGTCTGACCTTCCGACTGTGCGTTTCCGTGTGTCCAGACTTGTGTCTGCCATAGCGACGATAAGCTTCCGAGTTGAGCAGGACCTGCGTACGATCCACACGACCGTAGGCAGGTGTCTTTTCTCGCCTGGGCTCTCTGCTGATCGCGGAACTCACGTAGGGATAAGCCTTTTCGCTGAGAAGCACGCTGGTAGAACTTTTGACGATGGTGCGGCTCATCGAGGGCTCCAGGGTCTTGTCGTCGCGTACGAACGGACTGTCGTCCCGACGATAATAGCTGTGATCTCGGTCCTTCCGCGAATAATCGCGTGCGTTCTGCTCCGAATCGTCAGCTGGTCTCTTGCCGGAATACCTCTCCAGAATCGTGTTGTACTTGTCCTCCAAGCGGTTCCGCGTGCTACCCAATCGGCTGATGTGGGGCGATCTAGCGCGATCGTTGAGCGTAGATGTGCCGCGCACTCGGGTGGTCAGTTTTTGGAGAAGACTCGTGCAGGAGTCGCTCAGCATCTGCGTCACGCTCGTCGTGGTGGACGAGCGCGCGTAGCGATTTCGCCGTGAGCCCTGTCGGGAGGTCGACATGTTGTCGCGCGGTGCGAATATGAACATTTATAACAGTTGCGAATTACGACTGAAGTCTTGCGAACCTTACACTCGAAAAGATCGTCTCTGGATCTCCACGAGCGAACTCAGCGCAAACTTTGGTTGAATCGTCCGAGAAGAGCAGCTGCGACAGCCGCTCGAAAACACCACCGAGGCTGACGAAACGATTCTCTACACAGATACATCACTCTATGGGATAGGCGAGAAGACGCCGATTCGCGCGAGAGAACGACACGCCGAAGGAAGGCAACCAAACTGCGACCACGACGACGGTCAGGAAGACGACGATGACGATGATGATGGCGACGACGACGACGACGACGACGAACGACGACGACGACGAGAAGGAGACGAACTCGCTGCGCCCCGCCAAATACTCTCTCGTCGCACTAAAAATATCAGGGAGCGGTGGTGAGCTCGCTCCGACGAGAACGATTCATCCTCCTCTCTCGAGAGGCGACTCTCCGAAAGCGATCAGAAAACGGAGCGACGAAGAGAGGCACGATTAGCGTAACTTGGTACGCGCGATCGCAAACGAAAGAGGGACGGACGCGAAACAGAAATAGAGAAAGACAAAGAGCGAGATGTACAGGTGGGAAGAAGAGGAAAAAGACGGAGGGCGAAACAGAAGATGGAGAGGGATCACCACCGGTGGTATTACGTAAATTTTCTCTCGGCGCTTATTCGGAACGCGCCAAACTTTCGATCAAGCCTCTTCGACTTCTCGTGCTTTCAGATGCACGATCAAGGGGGAAGAGAGATTCGCTCTTCCGTCCGCGAAGAGGAGTGTTTTTACGATTATTTTACGGGAAAACTAGTGCTTTTCCACACGATCAATCGCGTCGTTTCTTCTCTTCTTACCTTGACATACATAGAAATTGCGAAACGCGCCACGATGCTAATCCGATGTAGGTCTGCCTAATATTGGCCACACTTGATAGTTGGCATTTTTCTCAATAAAGATGTGTCATTGATGTGTCAGAATGATAAGCAAATGCAAATAATTCTGTATCAGGTACGATACAAAAATATTAATATCATCAAAAATAATCAAGATCATCAAACAAAGATAAGATATAAAATGAGTAGCATTTTGATTAAAAAAAATCCAAATTAATTTAAAGATAAATGGATAAAATATAAATATCGAGATAAATATTATAAATTTAGAACTTTTAGCTAAAATTAAGAGGATATAATTAATAGATTGATAGATAGGTTCGTGGACTCTAGTACTATTAATAAAATTCGAGTCGTCTTCAAGGTCACGATGTCGAAGATATCGCCCTATCATGTGTACGCGTGTTGTAGATTTTAAGTCCAAGTATCGGTATAAATACACGCAGTTTACAAAATAGCGACGCAGTTTATTCGGGCGGACTACTCGCCCACATCGGTTTCAGAGATGATCTCAAAAATATTTTCTAGCGAAGCGAGTCCGATTAATTTGGCTCGCGTTAGAAATTGGACTATTCAAAATTACAGACATGTATATGCACGTATTTTTTTTATCTAAAAGAATAAAAATGAAAAAAATTTAGTATATCAAATTTCTGCTAACATTTCATATTACACGAATAATTCTGAAGATAAAACTTTTATCCGTACTAATTGCAAATGCAAAACATGAATACAAATCATAAATCGTATCACTGTTTTGTGTTACTCAATGAATCATATAGTGTCATTCCTCCATTAGGTCGCTTGCGATAACGGTAGCAAAACGGAACGATCAACATCGCAGCGGAAAGTTACGCGAATGTTTCTCCCGCTCCCTATTCCGAGGAAATATTGACCAAGGTTAGGTCATACTATCGGGTTAAAAACGGGGTGAGAAAAGCAAACGAGAGAGGAAAGAGGCCTTTGTCGTGCTCTGGAGTATTCGCTTCGTTCTCCAAGTTGCTTCCTCGCGAGAACGGGCTAGCTATGCCAAATATAAATCGGCAGCCCGAAACGCGTGCGCCACGATAGTCACGCGTAGACAAGATGAGAACTCGCCGTCAGCGCGTGCAGTGTTCAAATGTTAAAAGTCCTAGCTGGAGGTTCGCAGCATCGCGTCACCGCTGTTGCCTGCATGGCGAATGGCCAACAGAAATGTACGTTCTGTATACGTTAACTCTTTCATCGAAGAGGAAAACACCAGTCTAATTCATCAAACTATTTACGCATTCAACATTCCATACAGTTACAAAACTGTTAAAAATATTTCGACAAAGCCTTGACGTTGAAACTGACGAAAAATAAGAATTTAATATTTCATAGTTAAAAAAAACAACACTTAAACTAATCAATTTTTCACGTGTTCTGACATTGCTAATAATCTCCAAGTAGCAAACTGACGTACGCTTGCTATCTGGGTCTTTTCATCCTAACCAATTATTTCTTTAGTAATACAAAAGCAATATATTTCCAGAGAACTAATGCTGTTAAATTCTCTGAATGTGCAGGGAGAGGAATTGGAGCAGAAGTCTGAAGCGATAATAAGTACGATTGTAAAGACACCGAGCAGACAATGCGCACACACACTCTAGTGAATAATTAACATCGAATGTTGTGGAGCCATACGAAGGTCTCTGTTGATGCTACCTCGGAAGTCGACGTGTTGTTAGTTTCAGGCGTGACGTCAAGTTTCGCGTCGAATTCTCTCGTGGTCTCGATGACATTGCGCTGCAGCCACTCGTGACGTCGGTCCCAATCGTGACGCGGCCACCAAGATACGCTTCCACAAGGCATCAGCAGACTTACTTCCTGATTCGTCACTGTCTGGAAGGTCGACGACGACGATGACGCGGCCGATGATAGACTACCATGGTCGGCCAGGCCGCCACCGTCGCCGTCAAACGCGATCCAACTTCCAGAATCCAGGTTGATAGGAAGAAGGAATAAAGAGAGAAGGAAAGAGAGAGAGAGAGAAAAAGAGATGGTTTACCCGGGCACCTCGCGCCGCGTCTCACGAGTACATCTTGTGCCAACTGCAACGCGTGTATTTCTAAATTCAGGTTAAACAATTCTAGGTCGTCGGCGGATAGCCTTTTCTAACCACAGCGATGATACGAAATCGACACTATTCTACGTATTCCTTCAATTCTCTGTAATTCGTTGCTCTTGAAGCACTAGATCCTGGAACTTTCTTTGATTTAGATCTAAAGATGCTTTCCGATATCGATGACTCTTCATCCAAGCGTTGTTGCGTTCAGGTTGAAACTCGAAGGCGAAGGGTACTCGCCTTCATCGTGGAACTTGCTCGCGAATCGTAGCCCTCGCGGTTGCCTTGGACCGGCTTATCTGCCGGTACAATGTTTCCCGACGACGACGACGACGACGGCGATGATGTTGCGTTGGCCATCTGGCGCAAACTCGCACTAAAACCGCGGCGAAACTGCGTGACGAGTCCGCCTCGAAAATAGTCGCCGGTCGAAAATAGCCGGCGTCAAGTAAGAAAGAAGAATCATCGGCATTCGCTTCGGATATACACGCGTGCTCGTTGCGCCGTAAGAATTTCCAGGGACTGTTTTGATGGAGCGCTAACTCCGCTCCCTGCACGCTTCCATATCGGAGGATCTCCGCTACGCACCGAGGCTCGATAAGTAGATCATCGAAAACTAATTCGAACGTTTAATATAACGTCACGAACTCTAGTATCTCCGTTATCCCAGAAACCAGCTTAAAAAGTGATCGATTCTTCGCAGTCAATTCTCGACGATTTCGATTCATCTCCACACATTCACGCTTTCATACATGGCCTGCCATCGTTTGGTCATCATACACACACACATGCGTAGAGAATTAGTTTATACTGCAAAATTTTACGAGAACAACATTTACAGTAATAAAATCGCTTTAATCGCTTCATAAAGAGTCTGCATTATTCAAAAATAAAAATCTAAGAACGAAAGTTTAATCAAAACACACACACATGCTTATATCAATTAGAAAAATAAATCTGATTCAATCGTTATTAGAGTTTGCCATGAGAGTTTCCAAGAGATCACTTAAAGAGAATATGCCCCACATGAATAAATAATTTCGAAAATCTTTCTATATACATATTTGAAAAAAAAATGAAAAAATATGTTATAAAACTTGAAAAGTTTTTCGTATACATAAAAATAATAGCCGGTATTCATATTCCGATCTTATATTTAAGATCGTCTTAAGTCTGAACTACGCAGCCATTTGATTGGTTGAAAAGGGTCTGAAGTCAACCTCCGATCAGATTTAAGGTCTTAAATATAAGATCGAACTATAAATATACCGGCCAATATCTATGGTATTCAATGAAACTTCCCGATAACGAGTAATATCGACGAGAGTACGACAGAGTACAAAAGCGCCGTCTGCTATTGTGTATGTTTTCGTAGGGTTAGGGGTATGATCGAATATCTCGAACTGTTTGTAGGTCGTTGCATCACGCGGCGTAGTACATTATATATATATACGGTGTCGAAAAAGAGCGCGAAATACTGATGCCGTTACGTGTGTTATATTGTCCCTCGGACTCACCTGACTCCTGGTGGACGGGGATCGATGACGGTGCCGCTCCTGGCTGACCGACGACGAGCCATGGTGACGATGAAGGCGCGTACGACGGGACGATGTTGGATGAACCAGGTGGACACGATCCCGATCACGATCACGATGACCGTGTTGTCGACCGCTACTGGGTGATCGACGATGGCTGCGTTTGTATCGACGTTCCTGGCTGGTGCCTCGTTCATGTTGACGAGACCTCAGCACTCGTTCGCCGCTGAAATACACAGATTCGAATTAATATATAAAAATTACGATAAAACAAAAATCTCAATCTTGTGTGCATAGTATTTCGTGTATTTTAATATATTCATATTTATTTTATATATTATCCGCAACCTATTTAAGAAACCAAGGATTTGTTTCAACATAGTCGAATCAGTTTTAAATTATAAAAACGTAGACTTCTGATAGTTACAATCATTTTTTTTGTTCGTTGATCTCCACTTTGATCACGAATTGAAACTTTAAAAACATGATGAAGCAAAGGGCTATTTGTTTTTTATTTTCTCTTAGAAAATACGGTCGCCGTAGATATAAGGGACAAATTTAAATATAGTTGATTTAGTCTAAAAGGTTCTTTAAAACTAAATTGAACGGAATATATTTTATCGTCTAGTCTCAGGTTCTTTAAGACTAAAATGAACGATGTATTGTAATATTTATCCAAAGCTAATTTAAAAATGTGTGGCGTAGAAGTTGAACGTTTGACACGATCTGGAGCGAAACTAAGAGGGAATCAAGGTTGTTTTATGTCACGTATAACGTGTTTCTATCAGAGTATATAGCCGTGCGAGACGACCCAATTAATTTGCTCTCCTCAAATAGCCTATCCAGTTTGCTTAATATAATGAGAGAAAGAACACTTTTTAAAAAAATAATTTTAAACGGCACAAGATAAATCTCTGCTTAAATGAAACATTACAATCTAAAATATTAAGATTCTCTCGAATAAAAATAAATGGCATTGAATATTGTCGTGTAACAGTTTTGTATCATCAATAAGTACTTCGTTATTTTTCTCTTCAGTTTACGACGTATCAATTATTGATGCAATATATTATTCACGAAAGAATAATCACTTCGGTTATAAATATTCACCAGCGCTTTCACGAAACTTTGTAAAAATATACAGAGTATCAGCTGATTAAAGCGCGACTAGAAAGCGCACAAAAATTTATTCGTGATGATTCATAAACGGAACAGAGACCGTCCAGCTCTAATTAGATGAGGTCTGGACGACGTTGAATTTTAATCGATCGTCTTGAAATCTTATACGTAGAGATCAATTTAATCCATCAAGAAAGTATGTGTGTGCGTGGAGAAGAAACGATTGTTTCAATTTAAATACCTATATATCGCTAGCAGCTGAGATTATTAGTCGCCGAAGCACGCAAAAGGATCCGAAGACTCGTCTCGAGTGACACGTCAGACGATCATTGTGTTTCGCACTTTTTTGTTCTGCATGGTGCATCAACCGTACAATAGGTTCACGGTCAAGCAACCGACTGAATCGAATTTCAGCCATTGAACTTGTCTAAAGATTTACGCCCGTGAGAGTTTT